TTTTGGGTGGTGTCCCCTGAATAAGGCAGTCATTGCTGTCTGAGCCTTATCTCAGATGGTCAGGCGATATCATGCGGGCAAATCTGGACGTACCTGTCTGTCCTATTGGCACATCCTGCAGAAGGAGAACCTCCTCCCCCCTGCTTCCAGCTCTGGGGAGTGCTGAGATGCGGCACAAAGCACACTGAGGTGGGCAGGGTGCACAGCCTCCATCCCCGTGGGTCAGAACCCGCAGCTCTAAGGGGCTGTGAGCAGCAGCTGAGTGGGTGCTGCAGAAATAAACTCCTTTAGCAATAATGTAGAATCAATTCAGAGCCACTGATCTGCCTGAACAACCGCATTCTACCGCGTGCAAACCAGTGTGCACAAGGCTTGGCTTTGAAGACCGACCCAAGTGATGCAGATGGAGGATTGTTTCGGGGTCAAAATACTGAAGGAGAAAGTAAGGAGGGAACGCCCAGCACTTGGAACATCCATTGGATGCTGGAGCCATTCAGCTCTAGCAAAATAATTCAGAGCATTGGCAAATATATTCAGGCAAAGCAACAGGTGATGTGCTGCCCTTTCTGCCCAGATGAGCTTGCCAGAAATCAGCGCTCAGTGCTTTCCTCTCTGATTCCTGGGGCTGTGGGAGGGGACGGAGAAGGGATATGGGATGGCTGCACTATCCCCAAAGCAGGGATGCTGCAGTGACCTCACGTGCAGGCTTTGTCCCATCTCCAGCCCAGCAATGTCTGGGCTGTCTGTGGCTCTTTTGGCCGATGTCCCTGAATGAACCCACCAAGCGTTAATCATCGCTCCACGTGGCCGAACATCCGCTCACACAGTGATAACCCTTCTTAATACCCACGCTGCTCCGGTTGCCCTCAGGACACAGCCTTTCTGCCCCTACAAAAGCTGCTGTGGAGATTCTGGGAGCCCTCAGGGACCAGGAGGGCTCTTTGTAGAATGAGGGAGATGGAAAAGCTTCCCAGGGCTACGCTATAACAGCCTGAGGATGGCTATTCCCTCATGCATCCTCTCTGTTTCTGCACACAGTGTGACTCTGGGCTGTACTGATCCTCTGTTCCCCATTATTTCAAGCCCATGATCCCCACTGGGGGCGGGCAGTTCTGCTCCTTTAATCCAGCTCCCAGGATGTGCAGATGCCCATAATGCCCATTAATGCTGCCAGGAGGTCAGTGTGTGTTCAGATGAGAGGGGACCTCAGCCCAGGGAAGTCCCCAGGCCTTTGAAGACCTTTGAAGTTATAGGGATTATATTCCCCATTAGAATGGCACCGTGTGCAGATCCACAAGAACTGTGGGCATGTTAACAAGACTGAAAATACAACTCGTAGGGCAGCAGCGATGTTGACCATGTCTGTCTCTTTTCCCACCCCTGTCAGATGACCTGAAAGAAGTGTTCTATGCAAATGCAAGGGAAGCCCGGAAAACCCTGCTGGGTCCCCTGTCCCCCAAGTGCAGCTTGCTGGCCAACCTCAGGGCCGTGCTGCAGCGCAGGCTCCCAGAGGATTCCTACCAGCTGGCATCGGGGCGGCTGCACATCTCACTGACACGGGTGGTGGACGGCCAGAACGTCATGGTGTCCGAGTTCAGCTCGAACGAGGAGCTCATTCAGGTAAAGGATCATCCCTTGGTGTCCATAGGAAGACTCCTACCCAGCCACTGGAGTGGAGGCACGGAAGCACTGATGATGTTCTAAAGAGGGCTGTAAGAAAGAAGGGGACAGATTGTTCAGATGTATGGGACAAAGGGAAATGGCTTCAAACTAAAAGAGGGGAGATTTAAATTGGACATAAGGAAGGAGTTTTGTACAATGGGGGCAGTGAGGCAGTGCACAGGTTGCCCAGAGAGGCTGTGATGCCCCAACTCTGCTGACCCCCTGCTGTCAGGGGAAGGGGCTCTGAACACTGCTGGATCTGTGGGTGTCCCTGTGCACTGCAGGGAGTGGGGCAGGATGGCCTTTAAGGTCCCTTCCAACTCAAAACATTCTATGATTCTATAACCTTAACGGTGCCATTTCCTCCCCAAGATGGGAGGGGATCAGAAAGGTCTCTTGGAGCTGTGGTCCCACCACCATCAGCTCCACCAGGAGGAAGGGAGATGCTGTGAGGTCCAGAGCAGGTTTGTTCCCAGGCTCAAGAAGCCAATGTTGGTGTGTTGGCTGTCTGTGAGCAGCAATGGCCCTTTGCAAAGAGTGGTGGCAATACTAACAAGTCCTCTGTGCTTCTTGGATAGGTCTCTCCTTGGCCAAATACTGTTGGCAGCAATTTTTCCTCATTCCCTTCAGCACTTCTCTGGGAGGAAAGGCCCAGGCAAAGCGGCCTTGGTACCAAACCCCAGATTGCTGATTAACCCCCAGATTGGAGGCAGGATCCCAGCATCACAGAGCTCAGCTCATGAAGCTGCCCTGGCTGAACCCACAGCCCTGAATGCTCATTCTCAGCTGATGAGATGGGTGAGAAATATTTCTGTGCCCAGCAGGGTGGCTTTGCCTTTGCAAAACCCCCACAGAACGAAAATGCATCGTGAGGATGTCTTGGTTTTTAAAAAAAATAACCTCCAAGTTTCACCTTTTAGCAGCAGCTGTGTTTTACAGCAACATATGGACATCCAGCTCTGACAGCACTGGCAGCCACACAACAAAAATGAAGTGCTGTGCCCAGAGAAGCTTTGTTGAACTGGGATGTTTTGTCCTCCTTGAAACCTTTCTTCTCAACACAGCCACACGCAGCAGGAGGGACAGAGCCTGGCTCACACATCTGTCATGCCTGAAGGTGCAGGCACCCTGCAGAGCAGCCTGTGCTCAGCACAGCCTTGACAGGAACACTGACTTCTGCCTTCTCCTTCCCCAGGCTCTCCTCTGCAGCTGCTTCCTTCCTATCTACTGCGGGTTCATCCCTCCGTCCTACCGAGGTGTGGTGAGTGATACTCCCAATAAAACGTACCCTTGGAGCAGCAGGTTCCTGGGCTTAATTCCTATGTCCCCAGGAGCATGGAGGGATATAGGTGTCCAGACATCTTCTTTGGTTAATGGAGGATGATAAAGCCTTTTAGCACCTCTTCATCCCATTATAGCTGGGTGAACAGCCACCCGGAGAGCCCTCTGCTGCTTTGCCCATGGCAGAGCCTTCCCACGGCCGTCTCCAAGCCGTCACCTGGGCAGGATCTGTCTGCAGCACAGGCGATGTCCTCATTCACTCAGGTGCAGGCTTGCAAAGCTGAAATACTAAAAGTTCGTGGGAGGATCCTCCCCCAGCCACGTGAAGCGCTGCACTGAAGGCAATGTGTGCAGTCTGGCTGCTTGCTACATCTAAGCGAAGGAGGAGAGCAGCACCTTGTATTTTACATGCAGTCTGAGCAGGACATCATGATCCATCGGTGCTGGTTTGCAGGCAGGCTTGTCCTGCCCTCAGGTGCCAGGTCAGCCCTCTGGCTGCACTCAGTGTGCAGAGCACAGCCTGCTGCCCACAGGTCCCAAGGCTCAGAGACAGTGCTGCACAAGGCTCCTGTGCACCAGTATTTCATGCACATCTGCTGCAGTGCTTGCAACCTCGAATCCCACCAAGGTGGGTGCACACTCAGCTTCCTTTCAGAATACAGCCAGTGGTGTTTTCCTTGCCCACTGAGCGATTCTATCGATGCTCATCCGATGAGGGCACCCTACTGATGGAGCTCACACCAAGAGCAGAGCAAGTCCCAACCTGAAACGCAGGACTTGAAATTCATACAACACTGCTTGAAACAATTTTACAAAGCCTTGTGAACGGAACTAATTATATTTCAGTTTTAATAACCATGGTGTGTCACAGCTGAGACTGGGAGAAAGGTGAGGGGTGGGAAGCATGGCCATGTGGGGCTGTCACAACCTTCTTGCTCACCTCCTGCTGATGCTGCCCATGCACAAACCCAGTTTTGTCTGCACTTCCCTCTCAGCGTTACGTTGATGGGGGTTTCACGGGCCTGCAGCCAGTCTCTAGCCTGGAGGAAGCTGTGATCACTGTGTCCCCATTCACGGGAGAGCTCGACATCTGCCCACGGGACTGCCCTGCCATCTTCTACTGCTTCCAGATCTTCAATGGCAGCATTCAGCTTTCGGTGGAAAACCTGTGCAGGATCAGCTATGCTTTGTTTCCACCCAGCACCATGGTAAGCCAGCCAGTCCCTCTTCCTTTTGCTTTGATAATATATTGGCATGAGCTGCCCAGGGAGGTGAGCTGGTCACCATCTCTGGAAGGGCTCAAAAGCAACGTGGCACTGAGGGAAATGCTCAGTGGGCTTGGTGGGGTGAGGTTGGACTTGGGGATCTTAAAGGCCTTTTCCAGCCTTAATGATTCTATTTTAGTCCATTCTAAACTAGGGCCGGATCTGCCTTCCCCAGTGTTAGGGCTCATATTGACCTCCACCATTAATCCACCAGGTTCTAAGGGGAGGCTCAGACTCTGGGGCTGCCCCCACTCTGATTTTTTGGTGGGCAGTGCCGATGGGTGGCCGATCTGGGACAGAACTCACCCTGCCCTGAATACCCACAAGGGATCAGTGCTTCTGTAGCTGGAAACCATCAGATGTTGACGGTGCTCCCAGGCCGTCCATCCCAACCCACACATCCAAACAGCCTGGGGCAGATCTGCCTCTCCCTTGCATAGAGAGCTCTGCAGTGACCTCTGGTGTTTCATTTTGCAGATCCTGAACGACATTTTTTCCCAAGGGTACCAGGACACTGCCCTTTTCCTGTGCAGGAACAGTAAGTGTTACCCCAAGACCCAAAGAGCAGCCTAAAAACACAACCCAACGTGTGGCCAACCTCGCTGTTATCTCACAGATGCCTTCGGTGTGAACTACTTCGACGGCAATTTCCGCTTTGCCAGCATGTGTGGGAAGAACGACTTCCCACAGCCCAACAGGATGCTGAACAGTCTGGGCAAGCGCGTCCCACAGTACCTGGCACCGCGCTTCCTCCCAGGTAGAGGACTTGGGGCACTCACTGTGGGTTTTAGGGTGGCTGAAGCTACCGAGGGCTACAGCAGGAGCAGCTGGACAGGAAGAAGTGTTGCATTTATTGGGTTATTTCTAATGACGGGTCTCTATTTACTCTTGTGTTGTCCTCTCGGGAGCAGACCTGGCTCGGTGGAAGAAGCAGCAGGTGTTGAAACTGCAGGATCCGCTGTCAAAGGTCCTCCTGCAGCCATACAAGCTGCCGGCGTTCGTCTGGAAGGGGTAAGGACATCTTGATAAAGGCACCAAAGCTGAGAGTGATGCATAATCCACTTGTGCTTTCTGTGAGAGGCTGAAAGGATGCAGTGTGAGGTTGGCAATGGGCAGGTTGGCATCCCACAGGCAGCACTGGGGGATGCAGCAGGCTGCAGCGTCCTTCAGGCAGCAGCTTCATGGGAAACACCCAGAGCAGCCTCTGGGGCAGAGCAGGTTGCTGTGAGTCCCTGTTGTACTGTGAGCCAGGAAAAGGTGATGCACACCTACTGCCTTTGCAAGATAAGCTTAGCAGCAGCCTCTTCCATTGCAGACCTGAAGACAAGCTCTTAGAAAGCAAGTGAAACTAGCACAGGATCGCTTGAATCTGGAAAGGAGCATTACAGTGTACATCTGCTGTTAACACTCTCCCCCTTTTGCTGCAGTTACCAGACCTTCAACCTGTTTACTTTGCATTTGCAGGCTGGAGCAGCTGTGGGGGCTGCTGGAAGACATCAGCTCCATGGCAAAACGGTTCCAGAAGCTCCTCCGAACAGTGGTGCCTGGTTTGCCGAAGAGAGCTGGGGCCAGGAGGTGAGATATGGAGCAGAGGGGAGTCAGGGTACAGAGCTGGGAAACCCCGAGAGAGCTCTCACCCATCAGTCACTGACACTGAGCTTGGCTACAAGTTCCAAATCTGTGACACTCCACCTTTAAAGAGCCTATTTTTCTTTTCACCCCTGGAATGTTTTGCTACTTATTCAGTAACATCTGAAAGAAGCTACAAACCAGCCTAGTGCCACCTCCCCACAGCAGTGTATTCCAGAGCAATTACATGCTGGCCTCTGTCCTAGTGGAACACGAGGAATCTCCACTAAGTGATGTTTTGGCACTAAACCCTCAGCATTCAAGGCACTTACCCTGCTAGACAGAGTTCTCAGCCATGCCTGCCCAAAGCTTGCTGCCCATTACCTTGCACTCAACTAGCAACAGGACTTGCAGAGAATGATTTTATTCCACAGGCAGCTATCCCTATGCAAGTCCAAACGTCCCTGGGGTTTCTGATTCCCTGACTCAATGACCCACCTGCTTGTTCCCTTAGGTAACCATCCCAGGTGGGCCCTGGGGTGCTCCAACACCACACAGTTTTGCCATCCCAGTAAGCAGTGGACAACAATGGAGATCACATGGTTGCATGGCTGATGTCCTCGTGGAGTTATTACAGGGGCTGGTTTTTTCACTTGCAGAAATGGGCTGATTTTGTTTTTTGTGCTACTGCAGCAGTCTCCCCACCCAGGCCTGACCTGCTTTAACATGATGGCCAAGGAAAAGCACTGCATCTGCAGCCAAGCTGCAGTCTGTGCAGGAGGGATCAGGCATCTTGCATGCACATACAGCCCAACCACTGCTTTCCCTAGCCACTCCACTTGCTGATTACAAGAATCATCCCTCCTCCTGCTCCAAGCCTGCAGAAACATGCTAAGATGTAATTATTTCATGACTCAGCACATGTATCAGCTGCCTTACACTTTATTAAGCCCTCATCTTTTCAAGCAAGCACCCGATGCTGTCTCCTCTGCACAAGCTTAGGGCTAATGGCACAAAGCAGACAATGGGTAAAGTCTGGCATTTCTTTGAATCACCTCATGGAGCTTTTTACAACCTGGAAAACTCAGCTGCACCCAAACCAGCTGCAGTAGATCCTGTACTTCTCCTGAAATAGCTCCATTAAAGGTGGGTGATGGGATTCATATGCGGCCTCTGGGAGTATAAGGAGGGCTGTGGCTCTGCCTGTGCTGCTGATGTTCTGTCACTGTGCTCTTCAGTGCATCTCAATGGCTGTCTGCAGGCTGTGTTCTGAGTTGTTCTTTTTTTCTTTAAAACATGAACTGGGGCCAAAGGCAGCAGCTGTGTCAAAAATGCTCTTCTGTAGCTGGCAAGGCCCTAAAGGCAGTAGAACCACGTTGGTCAATCTGATAGACTCTGCTGATCCTTGTGTAACAAACTGGGTTCAAGCACCCGATCGGAGCTGCTTTCTTCATTGCTGTTATCTACAGCGTAATTAAAATAAACAGGCTTTGAAATCCTTAAAATAATGTTCCCATGCTAATGCCTTGCTGCTTGGCCCAGTCTGCACTGAACCCTGCAGAGCCATGAAGCTTAAGGAGGCTGAGATGGAGGGTTGGATACAGCCCAAGCAGTAGGTGCTTGCTCTGAAGCTACATCCCCCCAATGGATCAGGCCCCAGACTCTCCCATGCAACCAAGCCAAAACAAAACAAACACATCCTATCCTGTTTGTCTCCAGCTTTTTGATGCAGGTGTTTTATCTTGAACTGACTCTGTTTATAGGCTAGATACTAAGGACTTGCAAAATGTCTTGCTGGGCAGATGGATAAAGAGATAATGTTTGTGATTAGTCCACCAGCGTCACCTGAGCCTTGCTCCTGTGCAAGCCCTAACAATGCAACAGTCCTTTCAGAAATGTTCTGGCTTAATAAGAAAATGTGTGAGAGTTGTGTGTTTGTACTCTTGCTTGTTTAGTACCATCAGTGTGCAGATAAACTGTGAAGTAGCCTTTTCTTGACCTAGATCAGCACTTTTCCTTCCCAGACATTAAAAAAATCTGAGGTGCTTCTCCTCTAAAGACTGAGAGATCTGCTTAACCTCTCAGTTGCTCTCTTGGCCTAACAAATAAGTCTGATTCCTTCCACAAGTCATCTTAGAATCACAGAATCATAGAATCTTCTGAGTTGGAAGGGAGCCTGGAAGGTTATCTGGTCTATCTTAGGTTAGTGAAAAATGTGAGAGCCCAGCTCCTGCTTTGGACAAAGCTCATTTTCATTCCTTCCCTCCAAACAAGAGACCAAGTGATTCCTGACAGCCCACATCCTGCCAAACCTCCAGAGAAACCTGGGTCCTCCCCTGCTGTTTTCAAAGGCTACCTGTAGTTCAGATTGACGAGGCCTTTACACAAGCAAATATGAATTATTCTGCATTTCCACAGTAGGTCTCTTCCCGTTGGTAGAACTGTCAGTGCTTCACAGTGGTTTTCAATGGAAATGTCTTGATTTCTTTCGTTTTGGGTATTCCAACATTTTGGTTTTAGATCTGAAATAGTAAGAGTTTTGCTCTTTTCCCTTAATGCTTAGGATTTGGTGTGGTCCTCCTAGATACACAAGAACCACATTTGGGTCTTTTTTCATCTTCAATGTATGTGGCAGCATTTTAAGTCACAACCACGCTGGAAAAGCTGTGCAATTTTCCTGTGCATGTTTTGAATTGTTGAAAAACTCAGAAAAAGAACCAATAAAAGCAAAAGCAACACTGCAGTCCAGCACATACTTTACCATATTCTGCTAGTAACAAAAAGCCAAACTGGAATCTGAAATGCTGACAGCTCGCCAGTTTTCAGCATTATTTTGCACAGGATTTAAGAAAGCTAGAAGGTTGGGATTTAAGCCTACCTTATTTTGCTTAAAACTGAGTCAGCCAGAGGTTTATCTGCAGCTCCAACTTGCTTCTCTTGCACTTAAGCATTCATGTGTGGTTGCATACTGGAATTACTAAGTAGAAGCTTTGGTTTGACTCGCACAGCAAAGCCAGCCTCAGAGATTGAGACATACTGCTCCTTCCCTCACCCTTAACGAAATAATGTGTGGGCACATTACCTTGCACCATAAGTCACTTCCTGATAAGAGCTGTGTTTCTAAAGGGCCTCTCTGATGTGGCTTCATCTGTGAGGAAATGATAATGTGGGCAGCTGGGAGTTCAGGTGGTATTTATCAGAAATCTGCTAGGAAGAAGCAGGGGAAATGTGTTCCTGCCATCAAACATCATAAATAGTAAGCTCAGCTGATTCAAGAGGGGAATCCTTCTCTTTCCTGACATTTTCACCTACTGGTGCCCTTAAAAACCCCCACAGCCTATGAGCACTGGGCAAGGGTCACACAGTTAATGAGAACTGATGGGATGAAAAACATGTTGGCTCTGTACCTTTCTGAGGGTTGCAGGAGGTGGAAATATCTTCTTCCTCCAGTTCATCTGCTGAACAAATGCTTGCTGTATTCTCCTTGGTGATGTCCTGAGAGTCTGTTGCTCTGGAGCAAGGTGCTCCTGTTCCTGGCTTCCTGTGCAGGGTCCCTTCACCTTTCTGACACGATTCTTTGTGCAACGAAAGTGTAAAGTTCTCAGGAAGGAATTTGATACCAAATGCATCTGGGGGAAGAGAAGGCAGTTCTCACAGTCTGTGGATCAACTACCAGGTTCCCGGCAATGTAAGGCATGTGCAGGGTGAACTGGAAGATAAAGGCACCGAGGACCGCAGTTTGTAGCTCATCCTAATTGGCTTTTTAGGGTCAGGGGCTGCCAAATATCACAGCTTTGTGGATAACACATCAAACACTACACAAGGCACCAAGGCTACACTGTTGTCCAGGTCATTGAGACATATGTTCCCTGGAAAGCTCTGACATTCCCAGCAAGCCCTTCCTTTAGAGGGCAAGGGAGGAACAGGGAGCTCCAGTGCTGGCCACAGAGCAAACAGGAATGAGAATTACCTGACCTACCTGCTCCTCGTTCCCAACCACTTACTCAATCTGTGCAAGAAGGAGACTGCATCCTGGTAGCCATCATGATAAAGCTGTTCACAAACCTGCAGGAGGGAGGTGGCAGTCAGGAGAGGTGGGCCAGCCGTAGGGGCCTCGTGGCTCTGGGTACCTGAGGAAGCAGCTCACTTTTGCTGAAGGACACTGGAAAAGACACTGCACGCGATACAGGTTTTGTTCTGATACATGTAAAACCCAGTCAACTATTTGGAAAACGAAGAAGGGAACTGGGCAATCTCTGGGACAGATGTCAAATTCACCAGCTAAAGCAGACACGGTGATGGTGGTCTGGGACACGAGGTTGGTCTTCCACATGCCGAATTCCCCATCGATGTAACGCTAGAAGAGAAAACAAGAAACCCTGAGCCTTCTTCTCACAGTGAGCTGTGTCATATGCACGCATACGGAATTTCCTCCCAGCTCAGACCCAAATGGGCCTGAAGGGTTGGGGCTGGGGAAATCTTTCAGGCAGCAGCCCTGAGCACCGCCCCGTGCAGTCAAGGTCTACACCACCAACTCCTCCCTCCCCATTGTGGCTGTGGGGCACCTAGGTTCAGTTCCTCCCTCTGCAGACACTGTATGCCACACAGCACAAGCAACCTGGGGTACAAAAACACCTCGTGCCACTGAGATGAGCCCTTACCCTGAGCCACAATGTGTTCTCCTGACCTCAGGAATACTCACCACCCCATGGTACAGAGGAGGGATAAAGCCAAAACACAGAGGGATGAAGCAGCTGCATAACACGGCCTGTGGGAAAGACAGCAAGTGACCTGGAGGGCAAAGTTGCAAAAAATCTCTTGCCCTTGTGAGTGCTGACTCATCTGTGGCTGCTGAGGTGGGACCCAAACCTGGAAGGCTCTCACCTGAATGATGTCCTCCTTTGAAGCAAACTCTGAAACCGTCACGCAATTCCAGTCACGCAGGCGGGTGAGGATGATGTGCAGCTTCCCAGATGCCAGCTGGTGGGCATTGGCAGGCAGAAATTTACTTAAGGCTTCCTTTACAACAAGCAGGACTTTCCCCCGAGCTGTAAAGAGCGTGGTGAAAAAGAGTTTCCCAGCACTATGGAGGTACTGCTGCATCTCACCTAAAGCCAAAGCGAAGCAATTATTAGTTATGTACTTTCTTAGCTGCATTTCTGTCTGGTAGAGGGACGTTTTAGCAGGTAAAGAGCCACCATTTTCAGCAGGGCTGAAGCTCTCAAGGGCAGATGTAAATTCTCAATGACAGTATTAAATATTTTATTTCCTACATGCTTTAGGAATCTATAAAAACCCCAAAATGTCTCCTGAGGCAATTCTGTTTCTTACATTAGGTAGAGATACATTAATTTAAATTGATAAGACATGGAGACTTATTCCATAACTATACCTGTACAGTTAATTTATCCACATTTTCCATTCTTAAAGAAGTCAACAAAATAAAATTCAGAGGAATTAGCCTCTGATTAAGGGCAACAGTTTAAAAAGACCTTTTGCAGCTCTGGCACCCCTAGATGCTTGACCTTTCCATGCTCAGAACACCCTTACCTATATCACACTCACATGCTGCAAATGCAGCCACAATCGATCCTGAAGATATCCCGTAGATCTTGGATGCAGATTTCAGTATCTCAGGTGCCAAGTCCTGCAAAGCCTTTACCACTCCAGCTTCATATACCTGCAGGAAACTGCAGCCTCTGAACATTAAAGAGAAAGGTCGCTCATCTCCCTTTATCTTCATAACTTCTGCTAAAACCAAGAGCTCAAAGCACAAGAAAGGAGCTGCACAGGACAGGTTTGGAGGTCTCTTCTAAAGCAAGGCAACACGTAGCTGTTCCCAATCTGCTCCTGTTTGTAGCCTCTCTCACTGCATTTTATCTCTCTGTTTGACACAGATCTCAAACCCAAATGTCCAATGAAAATAAAGCAATGGCAGGAGCATGTGATGTGTGATCCTTTTAATACCTAAGGCTGCTCGTGAAAACAAATGGACTACACTGCAATACGTTCCTAAGGCGTGCACTTAGCAGCTGGGTGAAAGCCCCAGGCTGTGTGGAGGGCTGCATGTCTCACTGATATTGGGGGAGCAGCCCCTATTACAACAGAGAGAAAAGTTGCTTCCCTGAGCTGATGAACAGCGTGAGCACTACCACAGGGTTCCATTTGTTTCCAGACCATTGGAAGGTAAGAAGCAGCAATACTCCCTGGTACACCAGTGTCCTGCAAGATGCTGTTTAAAACTGGTTTGTCTCATTTGTCAGAGGTTACCAAACCCCTACCTAGGGAGTGGAGAACCTGCAGAAGGTATTTGGACTATTGAAGAAATCAAAATCCAAGTTGTTCACTCGGTTTCACAATTTCAGGGTTTTGAGTTTGCTCACAAAACTGGGTGAGTTTGGGGGTCTGGATGCAACCCTGATCTACACAAAGGGGCTGCAAAGTGCTCTCATGTCAGCGTGGCAGCTGTGCTGCACATGTGGTGCTAAAGGCTGCTGTCTCCACTAAGCCCTGAACTCCTGTCTGAGCACCACTCACACTCCTAATCCAGCCCCAAGCTTACATGGGAGCAGCATCACCAACCAGCTCCACCCAGCAGCCAAGCCACTAAGCACCTTGCACACACCTTGCGTGAGCTTCAGATCGTATTGTTGAGCTGCAAAGAGGAAAGAACAAAGAAAAATGGAAAACTTGGGATGACAGGAATACACACATTCCTGGAATAGTCAAGAGAACAGATACAATGGAAATAAGTTTCCATCTACCTTTAAGTGTTGCCCTACAAGTTAACTGCAATAAGAAGAGTCTATTCCACATGCTGGTGTTTACTAGATGGAAGAGGGATTTAGAGTTTGCAATCCACTGGTCAACCACATGAAGAAAGCTCCTGAGATTAAGAAAAAGTGATTTGTAACTCTAGGACAAAGGGGAAAAATAACTCTTGTTTTGCAGAAGCAATAAAATTGCTATTGCTTCAAGCACAGGGTTCAGCCCAAATACTGCACTCTTTTCCATACACTGCTCCAATCACAAACCAAAAGCACAGATCAGGCTACCCCAGGCCATCCTTTGCTCAATTGCATTTCTGCATTACTGAGGAAGTTTGTAAATCCATTTGTTTCAGCTTCTCATCCAGTCTTGTAGAAAGAAGTAAACAGTGCTTAGAGTTGAAAAGTAGGGATGGTGGTCTGTGCCTGCTTGTGTGGGGGAAAGGCAGTTTCTCCCACTGTGGTGATATGTGCCATGCTCACCTTATGCACCTTGTCTGCCTCTCAGTCAGCTCGTGTTTCATCAGCACACAACAACCTTTCACAGACCCTTTGCAGCTCCATGTCTGGACATGCTTCAGGTCCTCTGTGTCTTTCTTGTAGTGAGGGGCCCAAAGTGAACGCAGCACTCCACGTGTGGCCTCACCAGGGCTGAGTACAGAGGGATGATCGCCTCCTGCTGCTGCTGGGTGCAATTCTGCTGATACAACCAGGACGTCTTGGCTTTCTTGGCTGCCTGGGCACACTGCTGGCTCACATTCAGCCAGCAGAAAGGAATAAAAGAGATTCATAACCCACCCTAGAACCTCGCCTCACAAATTTCAATTCCTGTGACTTCAGCAGCTCCCTGAAGGTGCCATGTCACACTATTTTTTTTTTCTTATAACAGGAACACGACACACAAAATCACAGCCTGTGCTGTATTTAGCATCAGCCACAGAAACCCTTGCCCTGCTCATGTGACGAGCACTCATCCAGGCACGTGGCATGATGTCACCATGTATGACATCACCATGTATGACATCACCAGCTGGGCCAGGTGAACCACAGTACTGAAAGCCACAGCCTTTCCACGTGCCCCACAGCGGGCAAAGGGCACAGTGCACACAGGCAACAGACTTCTGTTGTGGCAAGGCCTCCTCTGCGCAGGTGCTTTCATCTGTAATACTGGGGCACACGGTGTTATTTTACGACTGAAGAAGCCAAAAGTCGTGGACACCGCAGCTCCCTGTGATCCAAGTGACCAAAACCTGGCCTCTCACTGTGGCCCGCAGCCCTGAGGGCACCTCAGAGCCAGGCCTAAGGGATGAGGACCCCAGCGCGGCCAAGAGCCGCAGCGCATGAGCCGGCAGCATAACCGGACTGCGGAGGAAAGCCGCCGCTCGGCGCTGCGGGCGGGACGGGCCCAGCACAGACCAGGCGGCACCCTGGACCCAGGCGGACCGGAAGCCGCCATATTCTCACGCCCCACCTCGTGATGACCACACCCTCTCTCTTTCCGTTTTCCCGCCCTCCCCTCTGCCCGACATGCGCATGCGCAGAGATGGCTTTTCCTTGTGCCCGCCACGTTTGAAAAGGGCAAAAATGAGGGCACATGGCCACGCCCACCCCCGGAAGCTATAAAAGGGCCGGGCAGGAAGCGAGTGCTCAGTGTGCTGCGCGGTGTGGGTGGGGTGGTTATGCTGTGGTTGCGCTTTATGCTACGCGTTAAATGTAGCGCTTCTGCGGCTTTGTGCCTGTGCGTGTTGCAGATGAATCAGAATCTGGCCTTCTGATGTGGAAACGGGGGAAGTAAAGCGGCCTGCTGCGATTTGGGGGGGTCAGTTTGGACTCGGGGCCCCCGGGCGCGCTGGGGGGGTGCGGGGGGGGGAAGGGTTTGCTGCTCTGTGCGTGGCTGCTTTCTGTGTGTGGTGGTGGTTGTCCATGAGAGCAGGGCAGGCTTGCAGGCCTAAATCAGGTTTTCAGGGTTATTCCTATGGGAAGAAAACCCAGGTTGTTGGAGGGAGGTTGGGAGGCAGTGTCCAGTTGCTCTCTGGCAGCCAAGGGGCTTGAGATGGGATTTGGCTGTGTGGGGAAGCTGGGCTTTTGAAAGAAAGCTTGCTTGGCAGAAGGGGTTGGTAAACATCAGTCAGTGGGCCTGTGTGTCTCGGGGCTCCCCCAAACACTTGGCAGCAATCGAGGTGTTATGGCATAACAGCTGTGAGGAGAGGCAGCAGCTGCTTTACACGGGGAGGGGATGGAAACAGTAGGGAGAACTCAAAATATTTTAGCAACAGGGTCTTCAGAAACCTAAATAATAAAAACCAAGCATTTTGCCTGTTCCAGGCTGTTCTGGCTGTGTCTTGTAGCACGGTGCCTCAAAGTAGCAGCGCAGGAAGGACAGCAGCCCTGCTGATGCTCGTGGGCGTTTGGTGCTTTCCTATTTCAGTTTTGGCTCTCCAGCTAAAGCTGCTCACTCACAGTGACTGTCTGGGAAGAAGCAAGACTAAAGCAATTACATAATAGGGAAGCCTAAGATCAGCTTTCCATTCTTTAAATGCTTTGCACTTAAATATGGCATCGAGCTCAGAGCAAGCAGATGGTTTGACCTTCCTCCTGCCTTGCCTGTTGGAGTGGGTTGGGCTGTGAGGAGCTGAGTGTTTGTCTGGGAGCGGAGCAGGGTGGCAGTGCCATCTGGCTCGTGGCTCTGGCTGCACTGAATTGCACTGATCCTCATCTTTTGGGATGAAGCCGGCATCGATATGAGCAGCACCTGTGGTTCAGAGCCCAACCAATGAAGTGTGGCTCTTGGGAGGAGGAAGACTTGTGTGGTGCAATCGCACAGTCCAGTATTAAACTACGTCTGAAGGAACATTGTGGCTGTGACAAATAACTGGAGGAGACCAAATAGTTTGTTCCTTTTACATCTGTGGCATTTAAAAGCCAATGGGTTGTGCCGTGTCATATATTGCGTCACTGTGCCAAAGTCAAGTAATTGATGGGACCAGTAACAGTCTATGAGAACATTAAATGTCTCGGGAAGATGAAAGGAGCCCTGGGGAGCTGTTGGCATCTGTCACTGACACATTTGGGAAGGAGGAGAATACAAATTGCTCTGCTGTTTGCCTCAGAGTGGCTTTCATAGCCAAAGCGTGTGGATAAATGTTGTGGTCTGTAATGGGGGTGGGTATTTTGAAGTCACAGCCCTTTCTGTGCCTCAGTTTCCCTTGTTGTAAAGCAAGGACAGCGCAGGCTGCAGGCGTGGGAGGAGCTGCGGATTCAGGTTTACACTGGGTTGGTGCAAGAAAGCATTTTCTCTGACCAAGAAAATGACTTGCAGATCAGATGGTGGGGCGGTGGGGTTTTTGGGTGGATGGAAGGGGGTGTGCTTAGTGTGAGCAGCAGGGCAGCAGGCCCCTGCTTTTCTCCGTAGTCTGTCTCGGTTCCTGGATGAGTCATGTCCCTTCTGTTCATAAATGCTGCCAATGGGAGAGATAAGGGTTTGAAGTGGAAATATGGCCCTGCTGGTGTGGCCCATCCTGGCACAAATGGTGGATTAGAGCCAATGTTTCCCTGCTCCTTCTGGACAAAGAAGTGTTTTGTCTTCAGCAAGCAGGAATCTGCAGAGCTCAAGCTGCTTACTGCATCTTTGTTTCTCAGGTTAAACCCGGAATTAAACCGCCAAATATTAGAGCCCCGTGGAGGCGATACCCAAAATAAGGCCACAAATAGGGGAGGAAGGGGAGAACCCCACAGTGTGCCAGCCAGCGAGCCTAGAAAGCTGTAGGTGTTCCAAGAGGCTCCTGGGATGTGTCAAAGATAACTGCCTGAGCCAAGAGATAGGCAGCCCCACCAAGGGCAATGCAATGCTAGGTGTGTTACCAACAAGAGTGAGCTGTAGATGTCCCTGTTTGCTGCAGGGGAGGTGGACTAGATAACCTTTAAGGGTCCCTTCCAACTCAAAAGTTTCTGGGCTAGGCTGGATGGAGAGAATAAGAATTTGTCCCACCAAGGCCAGCAATGCAAGGGGGAATTAATCTTCTGGCTTGGGGCTTTAAAAAGTGATCATTGGTGGAATAAAATAGGGTTGAGCCCAGTGCAGGCTGTTGCAGGGGATCTGGTCTCTCTTTTTTTAGGAGGGATGTTGGTCCTTGAAGCCTCGTGCTCAGGAAGTGTTGACAGATGTGGGTTAGGGACAGAGCCAGACTCAGATCTCTGCCCTGCAAACAAGCCAGTGTGGGTTTGCAGGAGCTGCAAGTTCTGCTCTAGGCCTGGATTTCTGCAGACCTTCACAAGAGGGCAGAAAACAGCTGCAGAAATGCGTGCAGCTCTGGGAGCCTGACAGTGACTTTGATGGGAAACTCCTGGGGACTTTTTGCTCTGCTTTGAGGCGTAGTATGGATTTGCTAGGAGAGCTGGTGTAAGTATGCAGCAGGGAGCAAAAACGAGCAACAATCCTGTGGGCATCCCAGTATGGAAGGTTGTGTGTTTTGTAGGAGCAGAGGAGCTGCTGCACTCGTTTTTCTGTTTCCTGGGAAGAACACTGGGATCCATCCTCACACGAGTGGGGATTTATTCTAGATATAAGTTGAGGAGGGAGGAGAAGGAGAAATGAAGCTGTGGAAGGAGATGGAAGGGCATTTGATTGAGACTGTGGGATGTTGGAGAAGGGGTGGGTGCATCAGCTGGGCTTGGGGTCAGCATCATCTGTGCTGCAGCAGGAGGGCTTGTGCAAAGATGGGTTTTGTAGCTTGGGTTGGCTCTGGAGAAAAAAGGATAGCTTGCACAGGGTGGTTTTGATTCCTTGTATGGTATTAAAACCCAGAAGTCTCCATGCAGTCAATGTTCTTTGGTGTAACCAGCAGGTTCTGTGTTGTAGGGCCAGGTGGCAGCTACGTGTCCTGCAAGACAAAGCCTGCTCTTGGAAGCCCTATTTATGAGATGGGGTTTTCCTGGGTGTGCTGGCAGCCAGGCTGACTCCCATGGGGATGCAAAGCCAGAGCTGGGGCTGATGGCAGCTGGGCCTCCAATTTTCCCTTCCAGTTTTCTAGTCTGGAGATGGGACATACTCATCTGCTTCTGTTTTAGCAAATCGGTGCCAGAGCATTTACAATAACATTCAGGCTAGTTTCACTTTTCAGCTTTCTTTTCTTTTTTTTTTAATAAAGGAACTAAAAATAAATCTTTAGTTGTAAAGCAAAATAAAAACAGTGCCATCTTTCATTCCAGTTATTATACAGTAGCTGGCATTCTTTAGACAAAGCTTAAAATAACCGTGAACATACCAGTGAAAATAAATGGGTGAGTCATGTTTGTTAATGCAGGATTAGAAGCGTTGCTCTTGGCTCTCTGTAACATCGCGTGCTCTCAAGCAGAGGTTTTGCTGGAAGTGAAGAATTTGGGCTCCATCCATTCCAGGTCCTCCTGAGCAGAACCTGTGTGCAATCAGTGAGTGTTCTTGCTGTATTCATTTGTGCAGTCTCGATTTCTATGGCACTGTGGTGTCCTGAGCATTGCTGTCTGTAGTGATGAGGCTTGTGCCTCGTTCTTTGGATGTGGTTTTGAGGGTTAAACAGGGAAAGTCACTCAAATATACCTGTGTTTCTTCTTGAGTTCATGAGCATTTCTAGGTAGAAGGAACCAAAAGCGTTGCTGCGTTGCGATCTTCCCTCTGAGGATGGAACCTCTGTGGTTCCATCATTCCTTTGCTTTTGTTCCTGCAGTTCATGGAAGCTAAAAGGACTTTGGGGCCTGGTGCTGCCTCTCCTCTCCCAGAGGGCAGCTGCTCTGTCTGCACGCACTGCTGCTGGCCCCTGAGGCTGTCCAGAGCCTCTTTAGTCCTCCAGAGATGGACATGAATCTGAAATCCTGCTCCCAGCGTGGATCCTGGATCAGATGGGGCAACACCTCAGCATACTTCAGCTGAC